TATGTTTGATTACATACAGCCTTGTGACAGTTTTCCTGCATGTCATAAGCATTTGAATATAAATTAAAATGTTAAAATCAAATCTGATATTGTTTTACCTTTTATTTGGTGTGTGGAAGGTGTGCGGAAGAGGGGGTAGTCTTATACGGCGAGTATATAACAAACTCTGTATTTTGAGTGAAAATGTTAGGGGGTCGTCTTATACGCCCAGTCGTCTTATACGCCGGCAAATACGGTAATTGTATAAGCAAAAATGATGGGTTAGTGACAATAATGTAGACTTCAGTGACAATCCCAGAATAATGATGCTAGGATAGGATAATTTAACAGGGGTGTGTGTGTGTGTGTGTGTGTGTTTAATATAAAATTTCCAGACACACATCAAAACAGGGAAAAAACAGAGTATAATGAATCCCAAGATACCCTTCACCCAGCTTCAATAATTGGCAATGTTTTATTTTTTCATCTATCTCTTCTCCTACTTTTTTTCCTGGAGTATTTTAAAGCAAAACCAAGATTGTTCTAGCACTTCTTCTTTCTGCAATAGCACAGTTAAAAGAAGATAAAGCAACAAGGCAATCTATATAATAAAAGCCTAAGTGACCATTACAGTGGAACGACCAGAAAGACCAGTTGCTATGATGCGCACTGACCACAAGGGGGCAGATGCTCAATGCAGGAGCTGCCCCTTGGTGGTCAGTGTGCTCCCACAGGGAAAGCGCTGCTCAGCCAGAAGCCGGGCTCACAGCTGGCAAGCACAGCAGCGGTGGTGGGAGCCTCTCCCACCTCCATGGCAGTGCTAAGGAGCAGCGAGCTGAACGGTAAGGAACAGCGAGTAGGGGGGCAGTAAGGAGCAAGGGGTCCCAGATTGCTAAAGGGATGTCCTCCTGCCAGTTTAGGCCCACTCCCAGCGAGAAGTGGGCCTAAGCTGGCAGGTGGAAATCACCCAAGAGGTCCTGGACTGTGAGAGGGCGCAGGCCGGGCTGAGGGACACCTCCCGCCTCAGTGCACAAATTTCGTGTACTGGGACTCTAGTATTTTTATAATGTTGCTAGCATTTTCCCAAGGAAAAGCCAGGAGACAAGTTGGTGTCAATTTCACAAGTACTCCTACTTGGTGTCCCCAATAATTCATGCACAAACAGTAGTAAAGTTCAGGAACTTCTGAGGCAGCAAATAGCTTGTTGTATCCATCATAACTGGTCTGCAAACTGGATGCCTGGGTTCGGTATCCTGCATTGGTTGACCAAAAGTAGACTCCCTTCAGCATTTATAAAATAACTAGAGGCTCGATGCACAAAATTCATGCAAGAGTAGGCCTTCTTTCCCCCGCTGCCAGCACTGGCTTCCATCTGGCACCCGGGCTTTCCTCCAGTCGCCAGCAGGCACCTAGGACCCAGGCTTCCCTTGTAGCCCTCCCTGGCTTTGTCTGGAAGGTCATCTGGTCTAATTAGCATACTATGCTTTTATTATTATAGATGTATAAGGCCAAATAAATAGGCTAAAGGACTTGAGTTTAAAAAAACAATTTACTGTTAACCAATTATATAAAACCTGTCTCTCAGTTAACTCAAATAACAAAGGTATGCTTTCTCATCCGCAGTCTTTAGAAGGGACTCATTTTGAAATAACTGAAAAGCTGATATTGTTAGCCTAACTCTAGAAGCCTCCAATCTATGTATCCTACATATAAGCTACCTTGATAAGCTCTAGCCCAAATCTTTATTTGTCTGTTACTCCTTTGAAAAGTGACATCCTCCCCACTGTCTTCTGTTCTACCTGATCGCCAGGGGAGGCTTGGTCCTGGACTTGAGGGTTAACATAATGATACTCCGGAGGAAATTCATCTCTCACTCTCACTTCTCTCAGAAAAGATGACAGCTGCTCAAAAAACATGTTCTAAAGGAACAACAAAAACAGAAAAGAAATTGTCTAACCAGGGTAACATGCTAATCATAATATTGTAGGCTGCAATGAGAACTCCAAGGAAATGCTATCAGGTGAAGATATTCTGATACATTTTGATCTGAACAAGAATGTGACACTTTTAGCTCAACTCTGTAGGCCTTCATTTTTAATCCCAAGCCATATACAGAATAGTCTGACAAACTACTCAAATTTTAAGTAATTTAGGATCTACTACTTCTTCCTACTTTATTCATGTCAGGGCAATTACCATAAGGTAATTCCACTAGCTTCAGCAAAAACTGTAATGTAATCTTAGTAAATTAAAACAGTCTGATTCTATACCTAGAATATGAACATGGTGCCCTAGTCAGTATTGCTCAGTAGGTAGAGCATCAGCCTGCAGACTGAAAGGTACTGGGTTCAATTCCAGTCAAGGGCACATACCTGGTCACAAGTTCCATCCCCAGCCCTGGTCAGAGCACGAACAGGAAGCAACCAATCCATGTGGCTCTCTCACATAATGTTTCTCTGTCTGTCTCTCCCCCTCCCTTCCATTCTCTCTAAAAATCAATGAAAAAATATCCTCAGGTGAAGATTAACAACAAAAGTTGAATCTGAACATGGTTTATCAGCCTTCTGAATCACAGAACTGATTCGACTGATAGAGTTCATTAGACGAGGGACCTAGGCACCAGATTCTACACTTCATATTACCAGTTGTTGAGAATGTCCAAAATCCAGCACTTTATTTCTCATTTATCTCTCTTTTATTCTGCTCTACCTGATCTCTGATGAACGCCTGGTCCTGGACTTTAGGAGTAGGAGACTGATAACCTGCCAGAGAAAAGCCATCTCTCCCTCTCTCATTTATAACAGAATATGGCTCTTTGAAGTGGACTTTGTAAAAGAAAAAAAAATACAAACTGTAAATAGTTCAGTAGGAGTAATATGATGGCAATAAATTCTGAGCTTTATTGTGAACTTTATGGTAATTTTACAAACTCAGGATACTATGGAATAAAAGAGAAAACCAAACTTTTTGTCCAATCTAGCTGAGAACAATTTTTGCAAGCTCCAAACTAAACCCTAAACAACTCAGTTCCTGCTGGTCTCTTTC